TATATATATATATATTAAATAAAAGAACATCTTAAAACATGAGATTTCATTTCACATTGGTTTTCATACAGGTTGGTAGAATGAAACACAGCAAATGCATGATTTAGAAACACATTTATTTAATTTAGAAATAATTTACACAAATATATGTGTTTTTTCTTTCTTATAATAAGTAGCAATGAACTTCATGTGCTGATGAGTGACATATTTTTTTCTTTCCTGTCAGGATATTCAGAAGAATATCAACGGTTCCACTTCTGCTGTACTGACCACCACCTCTCCTACCACCACTGTAAGTCAGTGTTCACAGTTTAGACATACAGTATAATACATTATACATACATTCTTCAAATATTTTTAATATTCTTAATTAATTTCTTACCATAATCGTGGATGAAGGAGCTTCAGCCCCTGATGGCACAGCCTGACCTGCCGTCTGACCATGACAACTCCCAGGAGAACAGGATGGAGAAGGACCCCACACAGCCAGGACCCACAACCCTGCAGAAGACCAGGGCCTGCTTCTTAAAGGGAGTATCCTACTTCTCTGGAGACATGAAGGTGTTTGGAAAATGGATGGAAAGTAAGTCAACAATAATTGCTTATATTGAAAAATGTCCCACACATGGGCAGTTCAGCAGTATTTTACTAAAAATTACCTATTTGTAAAATTGCAGGATATTATAAATAAGTTAATGATTGTCTCTGTAGCCAGACCTGACAGTGGGCCACATATTGTCACTGTCAAATGATCTGTTATTATTATTTTAACGATAAATACCAGGCAAGTACTGAATGTACTGTATGATATCTATGTGCTAATCGTATGCATTGTTTGCCCCTGACAAACTCATCACAGCAGAACCTGTTACTAATCCCTTGAGGCAAGCAATACTTGCTTGATTAACAATGTGCAACAGCTTCCCTGTGAAGATATATGTTTCTTCAGGAAAACCTATGATCCCTTGTTGTCCATATAGGATTTGGCTTCTGTGATCTGGGTTAATCACCTTGTGACACAGATGCAACTGCTGTCATTATTATTATCCACTCCATGTCCTTTGACAGTCTTTAAATAATATAAAGGTTTTGCACAGAATGAAATACGTTTGACTTTGCTGGAGAAACTGATGGGGGTTGTTTTATTTTGCCCATGGCTGCACAACTGTGAGTCTGAGAAGACAAAAACCTGCACAACATTTAGTGTGGAAAGCATATTAAGCAGCACTGAGAAAATGTCAACTCTTTCTGTCTATTCACTCTTTCCATCCTCCAGAACAGTTCATCTTGCTGCAGTTGCTGGACTGGGTTTTGCGTGGAGCTGCTCAGGTGATGTTTGTCAACAACCCTCTTAGTGGCCTCATCATTTTTGCCGGCCTCATCCTGCAGAACTACTGGTGGGCTCTGAACGGCTTTGTGGGCACACTCTTTGCCACCATTTCTGCCCTCATTCTGCAACAGAACAGGTTTGAACATTACTTCTTGACAAAACTGATGCTACAGGAAATAATAAATTAAATTGTAATTAGATGTTACTCCATATAGTGGAAGTTGGATGGACGTTCCAAATGTATTTTTAGACTTGCTATCAATCACAACAACACTAGGCTTGTATATTTGTTAAGTATGCTGACATGAAACATAACTGATGACTGATAATGATCATTTGTTTTGGCAGTAGAAAATGAAATAGTCATGCAGGATGATTTTACAATGTGTTATACAACAGGAACATATCTAAAATAACTAACTTTCCCTCAGGGGTGCAATAGCTGCAGGGCTGTATGGTTACAATGGTATCCTGGTGGGTCTGCTGATGGCTGTGTTCTCCAACAAAGGAGACTGGTACTGGTGGCTCCTGCTGCCCAACATCTTCATGTCTATGATGTGGTAAGCAACTATACTTATGGGTAAATTATATGGGAGGTTCATATCATAAGACATTAGAGGCAGATGCAAGAAAGTTGATAAATTAACCAAACTCTCACAAGTGGCTCAGAACAAAGGGAACAGGTAGCAGAAAGCACCAGAATAAAACAAGATCCAACCAAAACCATGACATGTAAAATGTCAAAACTGATCAGTTTGTGGTAGTATAAACATATTAGTTTCATTATTTTTAAGGATAACAGAACAAACAACCTTTGAGATTGGGATATAATCACATTTAAATAAATATACTAATACAAAACTGTGTGAGTTAAATGTGGATTAAATCTCATAGTGCTGATGTTGTATCCTTGTCTTTCAGCCCCATTGTATCCAGTGCCCTGGCATCTATTAACAGCCGCTGGGATCTGCCAGTATTCACCCTGCCTTTCAACATTCTTGTGTGTCTACACATGGTTGCCACTGGCCACTACAACCACTACTTCCCTCAAGTCCATATTCAGCCCCGCTCAGAGCTACCCAACATCACCTGGGCTGAAATTGACGTAGCCAAGGTCAGTGACAGGCCAGGATTTGTCTACATACTTAACCCTTTTAACATACCTTTCTGTGGGCAATAAATAATTGCACCATATCATTTCAGTTATTTACAGTTAGTTTTCTAAAGTCCATTTTTTCTTTAAATTTCAGTTAAATAAAATGTTTTTTATTACACGTTTTAGTTTTTAGTTTAGTTTTAGTTAACTATAATAACCTTGCCCTGTGCCTCACTAGCTGTTCATGTCAGTGCCTGTGGGAATTGGCCAAGTCTACGGCTGTGACAACCCTTGGACAGGAGGAATCTTCATCATCTCACTCTTCATCTCCTCCCCCATCACCTGCGTTCATGCCGTCCTGGGATCTGCCGTGGGCATGGTTTCAGGTGAGAGGACCAGACACTACTTGGCAGGCAGCTGACAATTGGAGGGGTGCACAATAACGAACAATGCAAAAGTTATTCTGTCTCACCTAAATAAATAGAACAACTTATTTTTGCTTCCTTACATGCTTACAGAATGAATTCAAGCCACAGTCAATATGTCCCAACTCCAAGATGACCCCAAAAATATCCCTTAAAGGTGCAAAATAACCAGGATTAAGATAATCCAAAGTTAAACTGAATTTGCCCATTCCTTGATGGTTGTGCACTGATATTTTACAGGCCTGGCTCTGGCAGCTCCTTTTGGAGACATTTACTTTGGCCTCTGGGGATACAACTGTGTGTTAGCCTGCATTGCCATCGGAGGAATGTTTTACGCTCTCACCTGGCAGGTGCACCTGCTTGCCATCACATGTGGTGAGTAGACACCTGGATGATAAAAATGCTGTCTAAAGATATATTCTAGACAGAATGATTACATAACATCTAACCATGTGCAACATTGGCAGAGAGCAACCGGATATGTGTAATATATCACAGCATTCACAAAAACTTCATCTCATGGTATCTCTATTCCCCTCTTCTTCAGCTTTTTTCTGCGCATACCTTGGCTCAGCCATCGCCAATATCATGTCCACGGTAAGTACACATTTTCTCCTATTTATACATCAGCCCATGATAAACACAGCTTACTAACTGCAATGTGATGTATTTTTTAATCTACAGTTTGGTCTGCCAGCCTGCACCTGGCCTTTTTGTCTCTCTGCCCTGACTTTCCTCCTCTTAACCACGGGGACCAACAAGATTTTCAAGCTGCCACTGGCCAAAGTCACCTGTCCCGAGAAAAACCTGTGCTTCTACTGGAAGCTAAAGAGGCAGGAGAAAGTGGAAAAGGCTGAGAAAGAGCAGAAAGAGAGGGAGGAGCAGCAGAGAGCCGCAGAGGAAGAAGTGATACTGAACGAGAAAGAGCAACTGAGGCTAGAGCTTGAAAGTATAGAAGAAGGTAGAGTTGCAAGAGAGTCCTCAGAGGGTAAAAATGACGAGACACATGTCAAAGACCATGCACCTGGGGTCGAACAACAGGGTACTAAAGAAGAAGAGGTCACTCCTGCTGATTATGTTTAAAAACTACATTTCTGCCGAGAGAGAGAGAGAGAGGGGTGGATGATTTGTTGATATGTTGCACGTATTAGTTCTGTAAAACTGTGTTTATATATTAAATGTATATTTTTTTAAATAAATTCATTTCTATTCATTGTTGTCTGAAATTATTAAATTTGGTACACGTGCAAAGTTGGTACAAGTGAAGCACAGTCTCCAGTTGTCCAATATGGACAATAAAACAAAGGACAGAGGAATTTACATACATGTGCTATTGCTAACATTTAATAATAATAATACAAATCATATACCTAAGTAATACTTAACTAAAGCATGACTCATGATGATGATGATGAT